TGTGCCAGTGCCCCATTCACACCATTGTGAATGGACCCATTTTCTTCCAGCCGGCACTGGGTATTCAGCCAGACTTCCTCTTCCTGCTCTGCATGCATGTATGTAGCTTACCTCTCTGATTATGTATGTAGCTTAGTTCTCTGAATTATGTATGTATGTATGCATGCATGTACTTACGTATGTATGCATGCACATATGTAGCTTAGCTCTCTGAACTCGGACCTTCCTAAGAGCCCTACTTCAAGCTCCTTGCCTATGCACCAAGGATCAGTGTAACTCTCACCCCCAGCTTTGAGAACTCTACGCTGGACTCCACCAGGCTATCATTCTTTTGTCTGAACATAGACAGTCAGCTGCATGTCACCAGTAAGTCGTAGGGTGCATACGTCTGCTTTCAGGTGCAGGAGCTTCAAATTTCTAGCACAGGACTCACATACAGTAGACATTCCAAAAGTAATTTATATTATAAAAACACCTCTATAAAGTTTATAGGGCCATCATACAAAATAAAACACAGGTGAGGAAGAAGGGGGGCAGAGCAGGATGACCTGTTGTGATCCTCCCCAAACAGTTTCTCGGACTAAGAAAACAAGCATTTACTTCTTCTGAATGAGTAAATGTCTAGTTACTCCTTGTTCTTTCCAACCATATGAGGTCTACATAGTCTTGGAACCAGCCTTTTGCACACATAGGAAGCCAGAGGAGTTACAGGACCATAAAAGGCATAGGGTAGAGAATGGGTGATGTTATCAGAAGTGCTTTTATTGCTGTTGCCAATAACGTTCTATGCTAAGCTGAAAAAGAGAGTACTGAAAAATACTCTACACTGATTGTATAGCAGGCATCCTCCCCTTTCTTCAGTTTAATGAATCTAATTCCAGTTGTACCTTTAAGATGAATTTCTAACACTCACCCATACCAGTATGGAGAAAGAAAGCTGAGAACACACCTGTTGGAACCAAGAGGGTGGAGGCAGGCCAGTTCTGGAAGCAGGTGTTTAAATGGAATCTCCTCCACTGACAGCTTTGGATTACATATCTCTGCTTCGCTCTTATTCCAAGCCTTAAAGGACAGAATACTCCTACCTGGGAGGATCTATCTCCAGAAATGGCACTGGGGCAGGATGGCAGACAGGCAGAGGTTGGCTTGCTCTCCATTCTTCCATTGGAAGTTTCTGACTCTTTCTTTTGTCTGACTCTGCATTTACAGGCTTGTTTCACCCCTCTCCCCAGCTACACCATTTAATGCCTTTTATCTTTAAGTCTGCTTCCCTCTTTCTTTATTCATTGTCTCTGCCTCTGCCTGGGGTATGTGGTCTGTCTCCCCTGTATAACATGCATCTTTCTGTTTCCCATAGTCTTACCTTATGTTTCCCTGTGTCTCTCCTGAGACTTTTCATAGGCCACCAGGAATATGGATCAGAAGACCTTCTTTCTGGTCTTGGCACTACCATTAACTAGCTGTGTGATTAAGACCAAGTCACTTTACATCTCTGGGACTCAGCTCCCTCAACTGTATAATGTTTTACTGTCTGTGTTTTCAGGCATTGAGAGCTTTGAGATTTAGTCATGAAATGAAATGGAATCCTTATCAGACAACCCACACAGCAGATGCCATGGAGTTCCCAACAGCACAAGCACCAGGGGGCACCCAAGGACTACAGAGAGAGAATGTGACTATGTGCCAGGCAGGCACCGAGTTTGCATTCTGTGTCACGAGGAAGGTACTATTGTATCAGTCCTGATTTAGAGGTGGGGAAAAAAGAAACATCATGAGATTCAGCAGTTTGTCTATGTCCTGCTGGTCACAGAGGTAAGACACCCGAAGAATCATGAGATGCAACAGTTTGTCTATGTCCTTTTGGACTCAGCGGTAGGACATGTTCAGAACAGGATTTATTGACTCCAGGCCTATGCTAGTGTCTGTTATTCTGCATTGCTCTGGCTGGTGATACCTGCACATGAGCCTCCCATGAAGGCTACTGAGAAAACATCTTAAATGTGGTTAGGTATCTTGGGTCCAGAGTATGGGTAGGGTGCAAAGAACCCTCTCTTCCTTTAAGACACCAGTCCTGACTTCTTACGACCTTTGCCTGAAACTGTTCCAGGAATTATCCCACATATTGACTGTGGTGCTCTGGTAGACTTGTTCTTTGTATTTACTTGTATCATTTTAATTAACTGACCATGTATCTCAGCAGTGTTTAACTCAGTTCTGGGCCCATGAAAAAGACACCTGAACATCTTGACTAATCAGTGAGCATCATGGGCTAAATGAGCGCTGAGATCGTGTCTCCTATGTCTTCAACCTGGACCAGGAACACCAAGAACCTCAAGCTATTATATCACAGTTCTCGTAGGCTGGTTACACTATTCACCTATTCACCAATAAAACAACCACTGCATGGGTGAAGGAGGACTAAGTATTCACTCAACAAAAGCAGATGAAGGGGGGTCCTCTAATAATTCCTGGTCAAGTCACCAAGCATGAAGAGAACCCCAGTTTCATGTAGACACAGCTAAAAGCTATAAAGAACTCAGAAAGAAAGAAACCTCTATTCTTGAGACTGGCACAAATGACACACACACAGTTTTTAAATGGTGGTGGAATTCAATGGTGAGTATGTTATCAAGATTTTGTTTCTGGAGAAAGAAACTCATGTAGTTCAAGCTGGCCTTGAACTCACTATGTAACCTAAGATGACCTTAAATTCTTCATCTTAAGTGTTAGGATTATAGGCACATACTTCCACACCAGGTTGAAGCAAGAAAATAACTTGTGCAGTCTAGGTCCCCAAACTAGGACGACTCATACAAGGTTGGGAGTCAAGAGACCAAAGACTTCACTCACTCTAACCCTCAAGTATGTGAGTTCAGCTGCCTTTTGAAGCACAGTCCAGATAATCACCAGGCGATAATGAGTGACTGAATATCAGGTAAGCACTTGAGACAGCAACGGATTATTCCCACCTACATACATAACTCTATGTACAGAGAATAAACTAGTGAGCAAATGATGAAGCAAGTGGGATGATGAGTGGACAGTTATTCTCTCAAAAGTCACACTTACGTACTTTAAAAAGAAAAGTGGAGATGACCATTCTGAGAATTCAGTGTTCAAGAAATATCTAAGCCCCTTTCACACTCACCTCCTAATCTTCCATCTGCTTTTCTACTGTGCCAACAATACGATAAACTGAGACACATATCTTTTTTTGTTTTTTTGTTTTTGTTTTTTGAGACAGGGTTTCTCTGTATTGTTTTGGAGGCTGTCCTGGAACTCACTCTTGTAGACCAGGCTGCCCTGCCTCCCAAGTGCTGGGATTAAAGGCATGCTCTACCAACACCCAGTGAGACACATATTTTTAAGATGTCATAGAATAGCCATATATGCATCTTTATTACATCTTTCTTCCTTATAGTATAGATGCCATGTGACCATAAGAAAGTCTGATGACTGCCGATCTGTGAGAATCCAAGTGTAACCTGCTTCCCTCCTCATAGCTGTCCTGCAGCTCTCCAGAGGCCTGCCTTTGTCTCAGAAGGAAGGTGATGAAGAGCCCAGGATACCATCCTACTTGTACTGGTGGCCATTATTATCTTGGCAAGCCAGAGAGTTTATGGAAGTAGTCACACCCCTCTTTTGTCCCTGCAAGGCCAGTACCTCACTCATCTGTCTCACTTGCAGGCCAGACAGCTTCCCTGGTCTCTAAGCTCTGGGTGATGAATTTATCTGGACAGCTCCAGATGGCATGAACAGGCAGCTGACTCATCTGCTTCCCCCTTCCTGCCAGCCCCAGGTCTCAGGCACATCAGCCGTGCTCACCCCTGGAGACTGACATACCCTTATGATGACTCTATCAAATGCCCATCAGGAAGGGATGCCACAAGGGAGTTAGGGGAGCCCAAGAAGGAGAGCACGCCTGAAGGTCCCCATACTCATGCTGACTCCCAGACTGTGTAACAAGGTTAAGGACGCTCCCTATCCTGCCTGTCCACCTTGGGCACCCAGTGCCAGGCTCCTGCCAACAGCAGCTGTGAACACATGTGAACACATGTGACCAGGCTCTCACACCCTCATGCTGCCTTGCTCTTTCTGGACTATACTCCCACAGGAGATTGGAAAGAGCATGAACTGGCACTTTTGGTATAGAGTACTGAAATCCCACAGTGGCCATGGTGACAAGAGTCTGACAGCAGGTATTTGCACCTAATGTGTCACCCTGCATCCCCAATAAAGTGAGAGGGAGATGACCATGGTCTTGATCTTGGGTCCAGATCCTACCCAGGTCCCCCTACTTAGTGCATGAGTCCTCTGGGCAAAGCTCCCAGCTCCCCAAAGACAAAGAGACAGAGAGCATAAGTGGGAAAGAATGGATGATTTCCTCTGAATGGATATTTATGGCATGGCTATGCTGCTACAGTCAGAAACAATCATTTCATTATTATCTATAGTGACAGAAGCGCAAGAATGAGCACAATAATACAAAAAGACAGACAAAGCCAAAGTTACCTCTGACCATGGCATGCCATAGATTGATGGCCTTGCTTTAAATCCGTTTCAAAGGTCCAATTTCACCAATAAATCACAAAACCCCTATGCCTCCCCACCCCTACTCTGTCAATCCGCCTCATCCCTGATCAAGAAATGAGTTCACTTTATGTAGAGTCCCTCTCCAGCAGTGCTCAGATGACCCTGCAACACCAGAGTTGTCTAGTCTCTCTGCCTGCATGAAGAGGACTTGTGTTATCTGACCACAAGGAGATGCTACTGAGGTCCAAACTCCTCCCTAGCACTACTTAGAGCTGTCCAGCAAGATGCAGGCCATTAACAAGGCCTTATTTTGTCTTGTTTCCCTCTCCTGCGGTGTGTGGAGGAACATGTGAGGGCTGGGTAGCAGTGTTCCCTCTATCTATGCAGACCTCCTGGTAAGCAGGTCAGGGTTCGAGCTGTCAGCATCCTGAGAAGGAGGATGGGGCATGGGTCACGGAGCCTGTTACCTGTTGCACATCCTGTTGGAAGACACATAGCTGCAGCCGCTGGTGCAGCCGCACCTTGCGATGCTGCCAGATGCTCTCGAGCCGTCGCTGGTGGTGCAGCACCTCATGTACCACATCCAGCACCTGGTGTACTGCTTTGGAGTAGTTGGCTGTGGCTGTGAGAGATTCAGAGTTCCCAGGACTCAGGGGACGCTGCAGAACATCCAGCAATGCTTTGCCATCCTGGCTGACCTGCAGGAAGGAAGGGAGTTCAGGTCAAGAGCTCTGGTCAAGGGAGAGCAAAAGCAGGTGGGGTCAGAGAGAGGCAAGAAGAATCCACCCAGGAGTTCCTGAAGAGGCCTGGCATCCTCAGTCCTCACCAAGCTCATCACAACCAAGGAGTGTGTCAGACATGGTGTCTACAGTCTAGAGAAGAACAGAGCACCCAGGGTCGAGGGAGAGAGGAGCTGCAGGATTGCTGGCCAGTTGTGTGTGAAAGCCTCTTTCACAGATGACTGCACAGGGCAGGAAGTCTGTCTTGTTCCTGGCCCTTTCCCTGATGTCCACAATAGGGACTGCCATAGTGAATGCTTCCTAAGTACTTTAAAGGACTCTCTGACTACATGGGCTGGCAGAACTTCATGACGCCACCCTAAGTTTCTAAACTTTCTCTTCCTCAGCTTTCTTTGCTTGGCTCCAAGCTTCTAAATATACTAACAGAGGCATGGGTCCTCAGTATCCTTGTCTGTAAAAGGGGAATAACAGGGGCGCACACTTCACAGAGTGGCGGTGGGTATTAAGTGAGTTGGCACAGGCATAGCACACAGGACCCAACACATAGATAGCACTGGTTTACTTTATCTTCATCTGCACCTCCCCTGCTATGTTTCTGCTTTCTTTCTTTCCATTTTCTGGTTTTGATCTTTATTGGTTGTTCCACCCTTTCTTCTCCACTTTTATGTAGCCCCCATGTTTTTCTTGAAATGCATCTTTCTAGAATGTGCAGAGTAGGGTAGGGACCTTCAGATTGTGGACACACCACTCCTGTTCCTGGACTCCCCAGCTTCACCCTCAATGTTGGTGGCAGTGGGTGCTGTATCTCTGTCATTCCTGTCCCTGGTTCCCTGCCACAATCAGTGGCACTGCTCATTCTGGTAAGTGACATTGTAGGGTCAACACCAATGGCTCCATAGTACATGGCAGAGTTCCCATTGAATGTACACCTCTCCCACTTGAAAAAGTGAATACTGGAAAAAATGACAGAAGTTTTACAGTTCCAAACTAATTTAATTAGAATCAAAGTTGAAGTAGCTATGGTGTTGAAATGGCCTTCTTGTCCTACTGGAAGGCAGAAAGAGGTGTGTTTCCCTATCGTCTACATGATGAGCCACACTTCTCTGTAGTCTTAGGTGGAACTCCAGAACACAAAAAGCACCTACATCCTTCTTATGAGGCTTAAAAGTTTGTTGGGGCTAAAAGAAGTGACGTGGCAGAGTTAGGCTAAGGCAAAAGAGGAAAGCATCACCCCCCAAGGCTCTGCCAGCCCACCTCCTCAGTTAATTGCTAACGGGCAGGCAGCTTATAGATAATACAGAGATACTCTCTAGTGTTGTGAACAGATGATGTCCTAGAGCTAAATCCAGGACAGTTGTCCATGGGGAACTCTGAACAAATACTGTATCTTGATACTCTGCACAGGGCTGTGTGGTGAAGACAGAAGGCCAAGTCCTAGAAATTTGAATCAACATAAGATCCATCTCTGTGCCTCAGACTCCACAACTGTATAGGCTTAGAGGAACCTCCCAGCTCCACGAGAAGATGGGGAAGCAGTTTGTTCATAGGTGAATGTGAATGTCCCCTCTACTTCATGGCTATGAATGCATGGTGTACAGGCATCAACCTCATCTGCTCTCTACTTTTGTACTTTACGAGGAGTAAGTTAGAATCCCGTGAGCCATGGGTAGAGGCAGAGTTCTGTCATAAGCCTTGGGACCATCTGGATCAGAACTGGATATTTGAGTTAGCTTAAAATACCCTGTGTGCGTCCTGTGTTGAGAAAACTCTTCACCATATTTAGTCCTCGCCACCGTGAGGCCTCAGCCAGGCACACAACACCCATTATGAGCTTCACTCCACGGAAGAGCCCAAAGCCCAGGTCACACAGCTAATAAGCAAGGAAGCCCATGATTCAAACTGTCTTCACTGTGGCAAAACCCTCCCTTTGACTGTGAAAATTCACATGGAGCAACAGTTATTGAAATGTAGGTGATAGTCCTGTATCTGCCATTCTTTCTCAGTCTAGAGTAAAACCCTGAAGATTGCATCTTCAACAGCCACCTCAGAGCAAGCAGATGAAGGCAGTCTGGGAAGCCATTGTGACAACACTCCTCGCTGACCTTGTCCCAGACGAGACAGGCCAGCCGGATCTGAAATCATCTGTGTCTTTGTCTGACTTCCTAACCTTCTCATCTCTTTCACTCAAACTTTTCCTTGGAATCCACACTAGTAAGCAAACATTAAAATTTGTGTTTTCCATGCATGTGTACATGTGGCCCTTTTGGGAATATCACACAAATTTCATTCTCAGCCTTCAGCATCTCCCACCTTTGATTTTTTTTAAGGGAAGGACCTTTAAGTTTGTCCTTGGCATGATGGCTTCCTATTCCTGCAAGCTATGGATTATTCTCTGGCCCTTCCAGGAATAAAAGAGTATTGCTCAGTGAGCTGCCTTTTTTTTTAAAGGGGGTTCATGCGCTGGTGTTAGACATTCTTTTACCAACAGGAAGGCAAACTCAGAAGGGTCAGTCTTGCTTCCTTACACCCTCCCTCCCTCTGGAGGGCATTCAATGTCCACACAAGGTAAAGGGTGTCTAGGTACATGTGAGAGGGGAGAAACACACCAGAGTGAGCCTGGTAAAAGCTCAAACCATATCACCATATCTGCCCCTGACTAGAGACTCCAGAGCTCACAGGTCAAGGTCCCTAAAGACACTTCTAGAAAGAAGAGAACTTTCTTTCTTAAAATCCAATCCAGATTATTCCACAGCACCCTCACCCAACACACACACACACACACACACACACACACACACACACACACACACACACAGACCCATGGTTGTCTCTCAGGTCCTTACCTCTGTGTAAGCCTGGGTCACCTGCTCATACAAGGACTGGTGATGATGGATGGCCAGCTCCAGGTCCTGCATCTCAGAGGGAAGGCCACCTTCACTGCACATCTTGCACCAGGCATCCACTCCTGACAGAAACTGGAAAGAGATGCCAGGTGAGTGAGTATGCGCACTGGGCAAAGACAGAGTAAGTTTAACAGTAGAGAAGGTCAGACGCCTTGGGAACGATGATGAGAAAAATTGTAGTACTTTAGAAATACCTTCAGGAGGCTTGACTAGCCTCTTCTACAAAGTTCAGTTAAGGAGAAATTTGGGAAGTATAGTTTCTAGCAGAATGGGGCAGGGCCAGGCATCTGGATGTTCAATAGTGTATAGCCATATAACATCTGCAAAGTCCAGGCACCTATACAGCCCACTATAGTCCATAGATATTGAGCACACAGGCACATGTGGGCATATGAGAGGTGTTGAATGAAATGCAATGAGAGTTTGCTGGCATGTGCTTTCTGTGCAGAGGGTATTCTGTGGAGAGGCAAGGAACACCCCAAGAGTATCGCTAGCATGCCCTGGCACATCCTATAAGGTATGCAGATTAAGGCTCAACAGGACTTTCATTTGAGCCATGCTCCTAAGGACTGAACATGGAGGGACACGGTAGGGCAGACTGTGCTGCTCCTATAGTGGCAGTGGCGCCTGGGATATGATGTATAGATTGATGTTAGCAGACATCAAATTATTAAAAAAATTAAAATTAACAACTGTAGAAAACTATGAGTCTCCCTGTACAAAGGGTGAGCTATTTAAAACCACTCAGATTTATTGGGTGGGAAAATACACCTTTAAAACACAAATAATTCTTCACCCAACAGTCTGGAATGGTACTTATTGCCTGTGATTCCCTCGCCTGGCTGCACAGCTCCATTTAAATTAATCGTTTAAATACCTTATTATCTCATTGCCTAGAACAGCCCATAGGAGGACAATAAAGAACTGCCTAAATAAACACATAAAAACAGTCCTGAATCCTTTCTTTCTTCCTTCCTTCCTTCCTTCCTTCCTTCCTTCCTTCCTTCCTTCCTTCCTTTATTCCTTCCTCCCCAACTAAAGAGAAACATGGTTTATGACTTTCCCAGAAAGATGGTAACACCTGAGGAAACTACACTAAAATATATACAAATAAACTTGTTTTGGAGCCAAACCAATCCAAGCCAGAAAATCTCCCAGCAGTTCCTGTCAGTTCTGGCCCCAGTGTTTTCTTCTGCAAATATGTGACCACTCATCCTGGTATCTATTGATTCTTAGCCCCCAGCCAGTTGGCTGCTATGCTTGGTTTTACATTCTGCATCTTTAGGTGTCTCTTTGCAATTCTAGAACTGCCAGGTAGTATCCAGTGTCAAAGAGGACATACTGGGAAGCTTCCTGTTGGGTTATTGTTTCACAGAAGAACTGGGGAGCAACTTGACATTCTGGTGTCACCTGGGGATTAGAGGGATCTCCCTGTTTCAACCATAGGTCCCACACAGTGGTCAGCTTAAATCAAGGTAGCCAGAGACAGAGGGAAGGACCAGGTCTTCCTTGCTAACTAGATAAACCCAGAACAAAGTGAGCAAGCAATAGAGCTAAAGACAGAATAGACTGGACATCAATGTCCTTAGAATCCTAAGCAGGACCAAGCCACTACTTATCTTAAAGAAAAGATTTGGCTAGGTTCCTCTCAAAGTGCAGGACCATGGTCTTGATTTATAGCAAGTATTTACTTCAGAGAGGGCGACAGCTACAGATGGAACTAAACACAGGTGGAAAAAAAATAAAAGGATGCTGGGCCAGCGTGCACAACAAATGCATGCAGTGGTGACCAGCTGGAAGTACATTAGGCAGCTTACACGCCCCAACTATCTCCTCCCAACAGCCCCGTGAGACTGATAATTAGGCTTGCACTACAGAAGAGGAAAGGAGCTTGGAATGATGGGGTTGACATGTCTGAAAGTTAAGAAGTAGGGGGCTGGGTACAGAACCCTTATATCTGGCCTCAAAGTCAAGACTCTGTCAATGGTCCCATGTCCTTGCCTTCCCTATTAGACTGGCTATGGGGGAGGGATTTAAGATATGACTATGTGTCTGAAACTCCTTTACCTGTGGGTTACCTGACAAGAACACCATGAAAGAAACTTAGAAGACCACACTATTTAATGTTAGACACTTCTGTTTGTCTTATTGGTTGATGAATAAAACACTGTTTGGCCAGGCAGGATGATAGGTAGGACTTGGAGGCAAGGAGGATTCTGGGAAGTGTAGGAAGAGAGGAGTTGTCATGAGATCCCAGAAGTGACGTAGTTGGGTAAAAACTGCCACTAGCTAACCATAGAGGTCTGTAGGTCTACACAGACAGGCAGGAAGTGACATAGATGGGCAGAATCAGTATATAAACAGGGACAAACATGAAATCACTTGCTTTTCTTCTATGTAGAAGTGCTGAGTCAGTTACCATGTAGGACATGAGAGGAATAACAGGTCCGGACCCTTTCTCCAGTAAGAGAAAACCACATGGAAATACTTAGATTATTAGAAATAGGTTAACGTAGACAGTGCTAGCCAATAAGAAGCCATAGTTGATGGCCAACAATTTCATAATTAATATAGTGTTCGTGTAGTTCTTTGGGGCAGAGAATGGCAACAGGATCTAGCCAGACCAAGAAAACTCACGTTACAGATGTGTGTGTGTATGTGTGTGTTTTCATACACATAAGCACATTACAAATGTTATTAATATAAATGATGTGTAATCTACAGCTTACAGAGAATAACATACACAATGCTCTGCCCTATAGTTTCCTGCAGCCAATTCATTCTTACAGTGCTTTTGATAAACTCTTGAGTACATAGTCAACCTACGGTTGGTAGTAAATGAGGAGCTTAAATCATTGCAACACAACACTGTGATATTTTTGCTTACATTAAGGAGTAAGACAAAGCTTGCCCTTCAGTGATGGGAATGCGAATACTGACAGGGTATTCCTGGATCTTATGTGCTACTCACATCGTAACTGTAAAATTATATCCTTCCATTTTCTCAAGATTCTACAGTAGATCATTTAGCCCTGGCCTGCAGCATTTGATGACTTACATGGAGTAAAACTCTTATGCTCTTAACACTTTAGCCCACCAATGTGACATTACTGAATGTGAGGTGGGAAGGGATGAGCAGCAGTATACAACTCCACAGTATCTCCATCATAGAAAACATAAAAAATAACCCTAAGAACATAGATTAGAGTAAGATACAGAAACCAGGAAGTGATGAGTTTTAAGTATGCTTTTAACATATGGCAATGTTGAAGAATTAATTCATAAAAAGTCTGAAAAAATTGACAACTGGTTCTCCAAGAGCTGCTTAGAGCCAGAATCTGACATACCACAGGCTCTTAGGCAGGTCATGTACTCTGAGTTTCAGTGTTCCTCTCTGTAAAATGGGCTCATATAGCTACATGCAACTGTTATTTCTACTCATTGCATCATTACTGACTTGTTATTATCCACAGCAAATACCTAATGAATGATTTATGTAAAATTAGTTTCCTTTGTACTCAGCACTCAAGCCATCACTCTTCTTTCATTCCTTTTGTTTCTGTTCAGAATACATTAATCAGATAGTCAGCACACACGCACACACGCCTGCACGCACGCGCTCCCTCACACACACACGCCCTCACATCACTCACATCTCTGCATCCTCTCCTGTTTACATGAAAGGTAAAGCCTTAAGTTACCAATGCTCCGTGTGTGTGTGTGTGTGTGTGTGTGTGTGTGCGTGCGCGCGTGTGCGTGTGTAAAATAAGGTTTATTACTGAAGCTATTCAGCAGGATCTTAGGGCCATCTGTGGAGAGTGTGCCTGTGTGTTCCTACCCTGTGGTGCCCTGCTCTTCTATGCCTCCCACTACTATCATCAGCCCAGGTCTCTGGGTCTTACCTGCTCTGCCTTCTGGTGGAACACTGCAGACATGGCCAGGATGGTGCTTCGTTCATCCAGGGCGGCAGCAAAGCTCTTCCACTCCTGGTCTAGCTGCGTGGAGATCTGCTTGATTTGCTGGGAGGCGTAATGGCCAGCCTCTGAGAGGCGGGAAGCGACAGACATGATGCGGTTGATGTTGACATAGGCATTCTAGGAGGCAAGGCAGAGCAAATACTTAGTGGAGGAAGACTGAAAAGGAAGCCATCATTGGGCATTGCTGGGAGATGAGTGTCTGGAGAAGTGGACCATGCAGCCCCAAAAGCCTGAGAGACTGGGATAGGCTTGGTGTCTGTATCTATAAAAATAGGCACAGGAAAGTCCTTCTGTAGAGCTGAGATATTTCAACATGACAACCAACACAGATTGTATACCAAAGACTAACACACATCAATGCAGTCACTTTAACTCTTATGGGATCCTCACAGCCAATGAAGCTACTCTCTATGGAGTAGTCTTTGGAAGCAGTAGATCATGGGATGCTGAAGGAAGCAAAGACATCTCTCTTACTCTGGAGAGAGTTGTACCCAAGGCATTACTGTCCCCTATAACATGGCAGAGAGGGAAAAGACATGGTAATTAAACAGCTTCTCACTGTCAGCTAAAGGTGTCCTTCCTACCTCCCTATCTTCTCATTCCCCACCATAAGACCTGAGGTATGAGCCACTAGCCAGGGTGTTCATAAAGACAGAACTTAGAGGCCACAATATTTTTCCACTCTAAAAATAAGATCTGTGGGCCCCTCTTCTTCTCCTTGTGTGACTTGGGGACATTTCCCCACTTGATTCTGAACATCACCAGGGGGTGTCCCTAAATGCATCTGTAGGAACTTCCTTGACCTGCTGTCTCCTTTCAAATTGTGTTTTGTTTACATCCATTCCCATTTCTGCTTGCCTATTAAAAACTCATCGAGTATGTATGCTGTTTCCTACTAGGCCAGCAAAGAGCTCTCCAGGAAGGAATAAAACAAAAAACAAAAAACAAGCAAACAAACAAACAAACAAACAAACAAAAAACACCAACACAGTGCCACGGTGATCCTGGTTATTTTTAATAGCTCCCTCCTATTAATTGTCTATCAAAGCAGCCATGTAATGTGGCTTCCTTGGGGAACTCTTCTGCACATATGATGCCCGGAGGACCAGGAGCCAGGTTATTCACACTCTCACTCTTTGTTACGAATCTTCTCAGATTATGATACATATTCCTCAGTGGCAGCATTTTCTCTGGGCTCTGTGAGCTGCACTGTAGTTCATTAACACTGGGTGAGGCTTAATGAAGGTTCCTTTATTTTCCTTCCCACAGTCCCCATTCATCTCAGCTGTCCCCAGCCTCCACATGCTCCTTCTCAGAGCTGGCCAGGATGATAAGGTCTCTCTTAATTTAAAAGGTCTCTGTGGAAGTTTACAGGTTAAGCGAGGCTTACAAGCACAAATCTATTCTGATGGCTAATGGCCTCTGAGCTCCATCTCTGTTTTTAGTGTGGCCTGAGCCCTTCTGTACATTTGCTTAAGAGAGCTGGAATATCTTTGGCTGTTGTCACGTGAAACAACCATCCTTTACAGAATTACGGATCATTATCAACACTGTTTGCTGAGTTAGAACACTGGGAAATTAGACTATTTATAGAACTGTCAGGAAAAAAGCAACCTTACACTTTTAAATAGAAAAGGGAAAAGGGGAGAACGGAAGTGCTGGTTTTGATAGTTTGTCTTCTAGGAGAAAGCACTGAAGTCCTCCCAAACTTCCTGCTTCTGCCATTGTTTTGGTCTCGGTTCATTATGAAACAGACCTTGGCATAGAGACATGAGGAAAATACTGGGCTTGGACACTATCCCAGGAAGCACGGCTGGGGAAAGGGAGTCATGGCTGGGATAGATAGAGGCGCATGTATCAATGGGTTAGAGATATGAGCAGCTGGGTTCAGTCTCTCTGGAGGCCTTTGAAGAAACTAGGAAATGCACCTCCTAGTGACCTGGCTGACAGGTGCAGAAGCTGAGCTATTGGTACATTAAGTCTCACCACTCAGTGGTTAAGCCCCCTCCTAGAGTAATTCTGTCATTTACAGCCCGACCTCCCATAGGCCAACCACACCCAGAGACCAGAGAGCCAGCATCACAAGAAACACAGGAAGATACCGGCAATCATTAGCAGATGACACCCAGGCTGCCTAGGAGAAAGTGGATGGAGCACTGATAATCCCTCAAAAAGCTGTTCTCCCAACTGCGTTCAAAGCCTGGAACGTTCCTCTCCTGCCGTCTATACAGATATCTCTGCAGTGTTCAGTTTTCCTCTCCTGGAGGGGAGCCATATGTTCAGCTTTGGTCACACAGGGGACAAGGAAAGTGGGAGGAGTAAGACATTCATTACCTTTGTAACTGTGCCTGTTTCCATTCTCCTCCTACCCAGGGAACACAGAACTTTCTAGTTATTACAGCTATGTCCCACTGTGGCCACCTCTGGAGACTGTTAACAGCTTGTCACTCGTTAAAATATTTATAGAGAGTAGGGCAGGTTCTGTGTTAGGGGTTGTGAGAGATCAAAGAGTGGGACAGAATTCTTGCCCACCTCAGGGTTCACCATGTAAGACAAATCCTCAAATAACTGTGACTTAAAGCAAACAAAATTAAACATGTTCTTCCACAGATACAGAAGCGAGTCATTGAGGATACAGAAAGAGAAGGGTTTGAGCCACCAACAGAAGTGGTGGGAAGAGGCTACCCACGTCTTAGGGAATGGGGATGCTGGCAATTCTCCAAGGTCCCCTCTACCCTAAGCCTGGGATGACAGAGGAACACTAAAATCAAACAAAAAAGACAAGAGCTTAGTGTCATATTCTGGACAGAGCCACAGAAAATGCTCTCACGTTTCCTCATCAGTGGGTATGGGCTGTCCTGCTAAAAACTAACAAGTTGTTACAAGTCACAGGAAATGCGGAGGCAATACCCTGCACAATAGAGATAACAGGAAGTTGACTCATGCATTTGCTCAAGCTCTTCCCTCCAGCTCCTGTGCAGAACTCTGGGACACACAGGCAAGTTATACTACCAAGGTCATCATGTCATTCATATTCTTAACCTAGAACCAGAGGGAAATGAGCAGTTAGGTTCTAGAACAATCCCTAGAACAAAGACTGCCACAAACCAAATGTGAAAGGAGTGGGCAGGGACAGTCCACCAACTTAAAAAAGAAAGAGGTAAACTAAGCCTAAGTGAATAAACAAATAGGGTGCTTGGTCAGTAGAGATAAACAGCATTGCTGGGCTGTGGTCAGTCTGTTGTGTGGTTCTGTGATGTGATGGTTCTATCTCTCTGAGAGAACATCGAGAATCTTTGAGACACAGCCAGCAAGAAAGGAGATCATGGCTCTTTTGGCCTTTTCATCTGCTACAGCTGCTCCCTCCACTTTCTCCCCTTTTCCTGGCTCTCCCATATTTTTTCCTTGATATCCTCAAATGTAACTGTACAGCTGCCTATCAGTCAGGGCATCACTGTCCCTGGACCAGAAGGATATATATATATGTTCTGTTCCCACCAATGACACCCACTTAAGATGTCATGACGCCTCTGTGCTTCAGTTTCCTCACTTGTAAAATAAGGGAGTTGTGATAGTTTGAACAGGAATGGCCTCCATAGACTCATGTGTTTGAATGCTTGGCCCATAGGGAGTGACACTATTAGGAGGTGTGGCCTTGTTAGAATAGGTGGGGCCTTTTTCCAGGAAGTGTGTCACTGTGGAGGCAGGCTTTGTGGTCTCATATATGCTCAAGTCACACCCAGAGACTCAGAATCCTTCTGATGCCTGTGGATCAAGATGTAGAACTCTTAGCTCCTTCTCCAGCACCAACCATGTCTCCTTGCACACCATCATGCTTCTTATCAGGATGATAATGGACTAAACCTTGAAACTGTAAGCCAGATCCAATTAAACTCTAACTAAGACAGAGTTGAGCTAAGTGATCTCAGATCTTTTATTTCTAGATTAGCAGTGCCTGGGAGGCAAGGACAAGATCGCCTACCTGAGAAGTAGGTCGCTCAGCTTTGCTGTCGACGGGCCACATCTTGGCTCTTCACTGACTTGCAGTATGAACATCGAGTCAAGAGCAAGATCTCCTGAGTTCATCTTCTACATAGCCCTGTCCTCATCACACCCTCTCAGACAAACCAATACATAACACCTTGGCTGATGGCTGACTTGTGGAATGCCTTTGTTTGTGCCCATACTGACCTCAAACTCACTATGTAGCCGAAGCTGACTTTGAACTCCTGGTCCTTCTGCTTCTTGCACTGAGTGCTGGGATTACAGGCTGTGGTTACATGCTTCAGAATGGATCTAGTAAATTCAGCATATACACTCAGCACTACTATTATTCTGCTATTATCATTGTCATCACCATTTTTTACAGTGTAGGGTAGTGTGAGCTATAACTCTGACCTAGAGAATGCAGTACAGGGGCCTCACAATCTGTTGTGTTATCTACCACTCTCCCTCATCATTTGGTTCCCAGCAGGAAAAATAACTAAGTCCTGAAAAATCTTGCTGCCTTGCAAACCTGGCACCCTGCCCACGTTTGCTACCTATGAAAGTCTCATTTGCTTGTTTCATTCACAAAGGCATTAACTGGAGACTACAGGTGGACAGCTCCTTCTGTGGCCTTGTCATCTGCTGTGACCACTGAAATTAGAGCAGCCACTTTCCTAGGAACTTCTTGGCAGAATCTTGAGCTTTCAGCCCTACACAAAGGGATCTCACTTTGAACATGGCTCTTGCCTTTCCTCAAGTGGCTATGAAAACATGCAGAGGTACTTACTGACAAAGATTCTGGTAACTTTCCATAAAAAAATACAGGTAAAGGTTTTTTTTCCTGTGAATTAGGGTTTTTTGTGGTATACTCTGAGAGGACACCAGTTATAGAAACAAGCTATGATTTTAGTAACCTTAAACGGTGTCACGTGCTGGTTGCTGGAGCAGATCATTGCCAGGAGTGTGCATTATTTGACTCCCATTCACCTCTCTTCTAAAAACTGGGACAAACTTCCTACACCTGTGGTCACAGACCCCCCCACTCTGATCAGGTGCTGTGTGTTACCTGAAGCAACACAAAGCATTCAGGCAGTTGCCTGGTAACCACTGATGTGTTGATGGCATTGTCT